GTTCGCTTCAGTGCATGGCTGCTGGCCGCCATCTTGGCTGACAGTTAATTTGCATAAGGATATGCTGATTAGCCAATGGGAAAGGTAGCAGAGTGACACCAATTTGCATGTTTCTCTTTTATTAGTGTAGAGTAGTAGACTAGAGGCCCAGTGCACGAAATTCCTCTGCTGGTTGGGTCCCTAGTGGCTGCCAGCAGCTGGCCAAGGCCTCCCCTTCCTTGGCCAGCCCCACCCCCTGGTCGAACTCCCTGTTGAGGGGACAATTTGCATACTACGCTTTTATTATATAGACTAGAGGCCCAGTGCATGAAAATTCATGCACTGGGGTGGGGGGTCCCCTCAGTCCAGCCTGCCCCCTCTCATAGTCCAGGAACCCTCAAGGGATGTCCTACTGATGGAGCGGGCCTAAGCCACAGTCTGGCCTCCCTCTGTGGGAGGTGACAAGACTGATCAGGGGAAGGCGCCGCCCCCATCAGCCCGCTGCTGCTGCCACTGCTGGCCGCAGCAGCTGCCAAGGTGTTTTCTTTTCTTTCTTTCTTTTTTTTTTAAAATATATTTTATTGATTTTTTACAGAGAGGAAGGGAGAGAGATAGAGAGTTAGAAACATCGATCAGCTGCCTCCTGCACATCTTCCACTGGGGATGTGCCCACAACCAAGGTACATGCCCTTGACCGGAATTGAACCTGGGACCTTTCAGTCCGCAGGCTGACGCTCTATCCACTGAGCCAAACCGGTTTTGGCTGCCAAGGTGTTTTCATCAACATGGACTCCAGTCCCTTCACCATGAAAAAATTACAACTTTAGGCATTTTCAAGATGTCTCTTTCATAGGATATGACCTTTTTTTTTTAAATCCTCACCTGAGGATATTTTTCCATTGATTTTTAGAGAGCGTGGAAGAGAGAGGGAAAGACAGAAACATCAATGTGAGAGGGACACTTTGATTGGTTGCCTCCTGCATGAGCCCTGACCTGGGCCCCGGCCAGGGAGGACCCTGCAACCTAGGTACATGCCCTTGATCAGAATAGAACCTGGACCCTGTGGTCCGCAGGCCGAGGCTCTATCCACTGAGCCAAACCGGCTAGGGCAGGATATGACATTTCTTAGCCCCTCCAGCAGCGGACCTTCATTTTTTCCTCCAGGAGTGAGATAGAAAAACCCTAGATCACCTTCTTGGAGTGGTGTACTGGGAGCTTAGCCAATGAGCGGTCAGAAAAGGTGTTTCCCGTTCAGCTCACGCACTGAGGTGGGACTGCTGGTGCGCTGCGGTGGCACGCCCTCTTCTCTCCAGTCCTGCGCCGTCCGTGGCTTGCCTCACCACACATGCAATCCCCTCCTGCATGTGCAGCCTACTGCTGAGTGGTTATGGCGTCCCGGACAATTTGCATATTACCTCTATATGTGTGTGTGTATGTGTATGTGTGTGTGTGTGTGTGTGTGTGTGTGTGTGTGTGTATGATTATAGATGACCTGGTGCCAGAATGTTCATCAATATACTTTCTTCACTGGGAAATTTTGGTTATGAAAAAATATATATCAGTTGAACTAAACAGTGTGCTTAGGGAGGTAGTTGATTGTAAGTTCCTCATGTCATTATTGAAAGTCCTTCTGAATTTCCACCCTCCATACAGAACTTCCTCTCTGAGAAGGAAAAAAATCTTGGTCTACTTAGTACCACATTATCACTACATTAGCATATTGAAATGCTTTATTGAAATCTGACTGATATACTATAAACTGCACATATACAATCTGACAAGTTTTGATATATGTGCACCCAAGAGAGCATCACCTCAGTCAAGGTGGTGAACATATCAGTCACTCCTGAAAGTGTCCTATTCCTTTGTAATCCCTGTTCCTGTGCCCTTTCCCCCCACCCAGAGAACTGCTGATCTGCTTCCTGTCATGACAGATTCCAATTTGTTCACATTTTCAAGGGTTTAATATAAACAAAACCATGCAGTTGATACTGTCTGTGTGTGATCGGCTCCTTTCAGCATTATTTTGAGCTCATTCATGTTGTTGCATATAGCAATAGTTCACTCCTTATTGTCAAGTATTCTGCTGTAAAAGTCTACCATGATTTGTTTATCCACCTATTAATGAATATTTTGGTTGTTTACATTTTTTGGTATTATAATACACTGAATGCTATGAAATTCTTGTACATGTCTTTCTATGGACACTAGAGGCCCAGTGCATGAAATTTGTGCACAGGTAGGGTCCCTAGCGGCTGCCGGCCTTGGCCTGGCACCACCCACTCACCTGCTCCACCATCCCACCATGGTCCTGCTCTTGTTGGGGCCCATCATATTCCACGCCGCCCCCTGGTGGTCACCGCACGTCTAACTCCTGGTAAGTTGAACTCCTGCCTGGGGGACAATTTGCATATTAGCCTTTTATTATGTAGGACTAGAGGCCCGGTGCACAAAATTTTGTGCACTTGGGGGGGTCGGTCCCTCAGCCCGGCCTGTGCCCTCTCACAGCCTGGGACCCCTCGGGAGATAATGACCTGCTGGCTTAGGCCTGCTCCCGGGTGGCAGAGGGCAGGCCCAATCCCCAGGTGCAGCCCCTGTTCGGGCTCAGAGCAGGGCTGATTGGGGAGTTGGGGCGCCGCCCCCTGTCATGCACAGAGCAGGGCGGATCGGGAGGTTGCAATGCCACCCTCAGTCATGCTCAGGGTAGGGCCGATTGGGGGGTTGGGGCACCGCCCCCTGTCACACTCAAGGCAGGGTCGATGGGGA